AAGTAACTTACCACTAAACTTTTTACGCTCGTGAAACTATAGAGATGATAATATGATACGGCCTTTTGCTCTTTTGTGATATTCATCCCTTTCCATCCAAATAAGAAGTTCATACACTTGTCAAGAAGTTCGGTGAAAATTGGCGGATATAACACTCTTTGCCAAAACATTGTCATTGTCAAAAATGCCTTACGTCCAAAGAAAAGATATACAATGTTAGGCGAAGCTTTAATAAAAGCGTCGACAATAGGATTTTGCAAACCTACATAATTCGAGGGAGAAAAATGTTTATAAAGTGCAGTACATAATAACATTTCAAGAAACCAATAATTCTTGCTTTACCTTTTGGACTAGTAGCGGGAGCCAAAGAAATAAAGAGATTGACCTTTTTGTTTAATTTTGGGTTAATTGAAAGGGCTCCAAAAGATTGCGCAGTTCCTTGTGAAAATCCAATATATGAAAGTGAGGGAGCACCAGTTGTCTCGAGAATATACTAAAATAAATAAATAAATAAATTTTCTTATCTATTATAGAATGGCAAAGAATTTCTTTATGATATTTACATCGATTGTATCCGGTAAATCGTAGAGAGCAAATTCATCTATGGAAAATTCCCAGAATCGACTTTCGCTTGGTTTATACTTGACATGCTTCATAGAATACTTATTACCGCGAGCATTTCCAAACCAAACATCATAACTGAAAAAAATTTTTTTATTTAAGATGAACATGTATGAGCATAATTCATTGTAAGATTTAAAAAGAAAAAAAAGTAATTCTAGATATAAAATTCCAGTACATACCCAGCATCAGCTAATAGAAAAGGTAATTGTCTTTCTTCTTCCAAATTACACATCCATACCTCACTACACATCATGAGTCCATGATACAATAATACCACCGGCCTTACCTCTTTTGATGAACGTGAATAACTTGTTCGAATGGTCGATAGATGAATTCCACAACCATTGAATATAGATTTTATACGTGATTCTTCATTACCATGAAGTTTTCCCGTCGGTATACGATGAATACCGAGGATATAATTGTCTTGAGTCTTTACAATATGTTCTTCCATAGTATATCCCCTATTGTAATTCGATTTGACAATTCAATTGAATTGTATCAATTGATCAAAAAAAAATGAAAAATCAAATTGGATCAGATAAATACCAATAATTAACCATTTCCTGAAAAGTATTTGAACATTGGATAACCTTGGCAGGGTGTGTTCGAGTATCTTGATACCTCATCGAAAATAACCTAATAACAAAATAAAGTCGTGAATGAATTTATTAGTATCATGAAATAACATATTTTGTTCATAATGGAAGAAAAACGAGAAGAACGTAATTTACTTTTGACTTTGTTGTTTAAAATAATTCAGAACGAAAACAGGCAAACAATATGTAATTATACGAAGTAAACCTTCAAAAAGCAAGGCAAACACACCAATTACTAAGGCTAAATAATCACGAAAATTAAGTCGCCCTAAAATAGGAAACCCCATTCTTTTTATTTTTTTATGATAAGAGATGATAGAAAGCAAAGTTTTCGAAAAAAATGATGAACATATTATTCAATTCAAGTATCCATATGTGTGTCATTCACTGATGACATAATGTAACAAATATATTTCATCATATGACTGTTTATCTCAGATCGCGAGGAACTAAAATAATTGCTTTGGAAATTTTTTTTGTGAATGGATTCTCATTTACTGGTCATAAATTTTGCGTGACGCCATACTTATGAATACAGTCAAAGATGATGGAATTTCTTTTTGTGGTTGACAATGTTAAACAAACCAAAATAACAAAATAATAAAATTGATCATACTAACCAAAACGTACCTAAGACATTATTATTTATCTGGCATTAATACAAATATATAATTGTATGAATTCGATAGAGATGAACAAAACATTATGTGAGAAAAAATAATCGTTAGTCAGTTTGTGGAATACTTTTGTGCTGTTCAATTAAAAAGGAATCTCACGCACGATTATACATTATAGAAGGCATCCCACCCAAAGCACTTTTATGATAGCTTATGAGTTATATCAATTAAATGATTTTTTCGTTATTTGCTTATCGTCAACGAAAGTATATGAGTAGTTACAAGTCACATGAGATGGCAATAATTTATATTTTTATAATACGCTGAACAAGTTTACTTAATGAAAAAAATAGATTATAACTAATTCGTTACGACGCATAACTTTACATTAAAAGCGATTTAAATAATAAAATAAAAACTTTAATTAGAAACCACATATTTCCTTCGATTTTTTAATTTTTAAGTGCCCGTGACTTTTGATACCCCACTGTACATCTAAAAAATGCTTGCACTTGGCCAGATATAGGGTCAACCTATGGCTGTTTCTCTGAAAACCGCATAAAGATCGTAGATCAGAACAAGGTTCTAAATTTGAAATTTGATGGTTCCAAAGTTATTATCACCTGAACACCGCGTAGAGTTCGTAGAGTTGACAAGATTCGTTCAGGAAAATGGATAGATTATCAGAACAAAGTCATCATTTAATTTAAATTTGATATTTCTTTATTATCATAACCAATCAACAATTCAATAGTTTCGTTATTGGAAACCCGACTAAGCGAGAAAAAAAAAATAAGGGTGACCGAAATTTTCTCCAAATAATATATACATTATTTGGGTCATGGACTAGCAAAATGCCCCTCCGAGCCTTTTGTCAAATTTTTTATATAAGCTGAATATGCTATGCTTAACTATATGGGAGGTTTGCTAGGAAAATGGGGCTCTGAGACGAAAAAATTTTTTTTGAATAAATTAAAAAATCAAAATAAACAAAAAACTAGCTTTAAATTTGAGGCGATCTATTTTTAG